CACAAAACCAAGTATTTAACTTGATACTCATGTTTTTAATGTACAATTTGAGGCTTTGGGAAATTGTTTTGTTGAGTTTTATGTATAGAAAATAGAATTTTGACAATTCAAGAATAATTACCTTTTATATGCCTTTTTACATTGGGATGTGAAACATTTCTAATTTAATTAATACAAAATTCCAGTAAAAAAGTGCAAAGAAGGAAGAAATGTCTCATATATTTGGCTCTTTACTCCAAGGTTTTGGTACAGAGACCCAAAACTCATTGATCTCTGTAATGACAGGAAGGTCTTCTGTCATCCTAATAAGGTGTGAGTTAAGTGAAGTAAAAAAAGAGGTCATGTGACTAGATGGTCGGAATGTGTCATCTTACTTACGACTTCCTGTTTTGGCACAAACTGGACATTGAGTCCCAGAGAACCCAGATCCATGGGTTCTGAGCTGGAGAGCAGACCTGACACCGAGGACATAAGCTTGACAAGGTCCCATTGCACTGCTCCCATGTGTCCCCGAGCTATCTTGCTGCTGTGCTGGGTTTTGTCCTTTAAAATAAGCTGGTTAGGATACAGAAAGTGTGCTTTATGCTCTGTGACCTGCTGTCTTGTTATCACAACCAGTTGTAGAAATCCCAGTATATGGACAGACCTATGGCAGGTGTCACAAGTGGGGGCAGCAGATGGGGATTGAACTCTAACCTATGGGATGTGAACTAACTCTGGGAAGCTAGCGTCAGAATTTACTCACATGATTGTTAACACAGTCTCGGTGTCAGAACTGGTTTCCATTGTGTGAAAGGCATCAAAACATGCATTACAGGGCACTGTACAGTATTTGCAAACTACATATATTTTCACAAAGCAGAGGTCAATTAAGACAGATTCTTCAAATTTAAAAATATCCAGGCCCTCCCTTTTTTTCTTTTCTAAACATACTGAATATCTACAGTCTTTTTTCTTCTCCTCACTAATAACAGTGGAAGGTGACTGCTATGAAATTTTTGCTATCTTTATGTGACATGCATGTATTTATTGAGCAACAAAATACTTGTACATTTAATGAGCTGCAATAGCCCTATAAACTTTTAAATAGTCAAAAGTAAAATTATGCAGAGTTTATTAGCTTTATAAATAAATCTTACTAAATAATATCATATTACATCTTTCCTGGCCTGTATATAAACATCCTAACTCCCCTTTTGAGAATGATAAATCCTAAACACAAAATAACAGGTGTAGAATGAAGTTGTTACCTAACAAAAAACTTCTAATACAAACACTCTCTCCAGCTAAGGAAACATACATTCTCGTTTTGAATTGATGTAAACATGTGTTCTTAAGTTTCCCTTTGTCGTCTGCTTGAAATGTAAACAACTACAAATAATACCCAAAAACTGAAACTTCATAGATGCTCTATGAAACAGCTATTCAGTCCACCAGCACCTATAATCCAGAGTGTTTTCATGTGGTTTTCCTCTTTTATCATGCACAGGGTATTCCTGTCAGCTGGATCAAGGGTGCTGGTTCCAGAGAGCCTCCCAGGATAGCAGGTCATGCTGTGCTTCAAGCCTTCCTGAGTTTGGGTGCCCTTTGGCACCCTGGACCATTGTATTCCAGATCCCAGAATCCAGGTTGCACACATACCCTACAGCTTCCTGTGGAGGCTCTGAATGCACATCCCACTCTGTGAGCCTTTGCTTGTGCTGCCCGAAAAGCAGCACTTCAGATTTCTGAGCCCTTTCACAGTAGCTATACTTTTGGTCCATGAAGACACATTTGCTTTTTTTGTTTCTGTCATCTTTCTTCGTCATAGGAGGTGGTATTTTCAGTGTGCACTAAATATTCAGATTCCATAATACAGCCATGTTAAACCCATAGAAATTTGCACATTAGGAACAAAACTGAAAACTAGTTATTTTTGTTTGCAAGTTTTTGATTCACAGTTTAATGTTTGTAACAGACAACGTGGTAATTCACTCGTGTAAAATGTGATCCTTAAGCAGGTGATATGGTTTAGAGTACAGTGCTCCCGCTGAGTTGCTGGGTGAAGGAATGGTCCCCTGTTTGAGCCGTTAGGTTTAGAGCACAGAGAAGGCACACAGTCTCCAGGTGAGATCTGGTTACCGTCAAGAGCCTGTTTACATTTATATGTTAGGAATTAAGTGTGTCTTCTCAAGATCATGTGCTGAGGCCCTCATCCCCCCGTGTTAGTTAAGGATAACTGGGGTCACAGCTGTGAGGTCTTAATCCCACTGGGAGAAAAAGTGAAATTGGCTTGTGGAAGCCAGGAAGAGAGCCTGGTGGGCATGCAGAGAGAATTGGCTATTGGCATCAGAGAGAAAACACACGTCTTTTAAAAGTCTTCCCGTATGGGGCACTTTGTTACAGCAGCCTAGCCTGGGCTGACTGGCGTGCACGCCATCCCTCCTTCTTGGTCTGTTTTCCCCTGTTTCCAAACCTCCAGCCTTGTCTAGCAGTTTGATGTAGGGGGAGCCTGAAGGCCACCTACAGGAGTTTATAGGAGTTGGTCATTTGGATACTGTGTATACAGTCTTTCACTCTCTTGCTTTTATTCCTATCTTAATGCATATTCCCCATGTGATTGATTTGGTAATTTCCAAACCTTTGAAAGATGATTACCAGGGTAATGCAAGGGCTGCCATTTGTTTGTTTTTTCATTAGAAGGTTAAAGTTTGGTTTGTTGTGTATTTGTTTGTTTTTATTTATACAAAAGCCATTAGCAATTCTCTTCCTGCTAACAAACTTCCCAAATGGCAGGGACATCATTTCTTTCGCTTTTCTATTTTTCCCATTGAGAGTTTACATAGTTTTTTCTAATTCCTTAAGGAATTTCTAAATGTGAATTCTGATAAAATGCATTTCCAAGCATATGTCCGGTACTCGGTCAACTGAAAACTCCGTTTCTGTGGTAGCGTGAGTCACAGTAATGAGTTTTGGGCTTCCCTGTGTTTTAGAGGCTGTGTGCATATTAATTTTTGTTGTGCAGTCAGGATGAATCAGGGATTCTTTTCTGTTTTCATTTATTCCTCACTACAGTCTTTGGATTTTCAGCAAAGGATCAGTAATTATTTTTGAATAAACAATCCACTCCTTTCACTGTAATGGGTTGCCATAAGTCTTCCTGCATTTGAGTCTTGCTCCTCTACTCTAATTCTTCTTGTTGTCCGTGTTGATTAAATCTTCTGGTTATTTGCCCAGAATCAAATGAGAAAAAACAAGATAGTTTTATACTTTGTGATAAGGGAGTGAGATTTTAAAAACCATTTGAAAACTCAAAATATCCTAAAGCACAGCAAAAATTTTCAGATAGCATACAAAAAATGTAAAAGTATAATATACTTTAAATTTCACATAAAATTTTAGAAAATGTTGAATATTTAAGCCAATGAAACAAATAGTTGATTCATTATCTAAAAGATCATGAATTTCACCAATAGGATTCAAAATTTAATTTAGGAAACTTATTATATGCCACAAAATAGCACTAGTCATATTACAGTTAAAGTTTTAAGTGATTAAGGGCCCATATTTCTCTCACAAAGAGTTGTGAGTAGCTCACAACTTCCGGGAACTTCAGTTTTGGGGATTCAAAGGCCTGTTCTAGCCTCTGCAGACACCTCTATTCATTTACAGATGCAGACACCTCTATTCATTTACACAGACACACACACACACACACACACACACACACACACACACACACAGAGAGAGAGAGAGAGAGAAACAGAGACAGGCAGACAGACAGAGACAGAGACAGAGAGAGGGAGGAAGACTGAGTTCCTCTCTGTTGCTTTGATGAAGCATGATATCATGGCCACTATTAAAAGAAAGCGTTGAATTGGGGGTCTTGCTTACAGTCCAGAAGGTGCATGATCATCATGACAGGGTTAATGGCGGCAGGCAGGCATGGTGTGGAGCAGTAGCTGAAAGTCTACATCCGGATCCAGCAGGCAAGAGTCAGAGAGAGATGGACCCTGGAATGTGCTTTATGAACCTCAAAACCCACCCCCAGTGACACACCAACTCCAACAAAACCAAACCTACTCTAACAAGCCACACCTCCTAATCCTTGTTAAACAGTCTACTAGCTAGGAAACAAACATTCAAATATACGAGTTTGTGGAGACCATTCTTATTCTAACACACACACAAACTTAGAATAATAAACCTTTGTTCATATTTTTGAGTCAGTCAAGTTTAGGATAGGGTCTCACTCTGCAGCCTCGTTTGCCATGAACTCAGGAGCCCCACACCTCACCCTTGGTCTTGTACATGGCTCCGCCTCAATTTAAATAGCTCACCAAGATTTAAATTGAAATGATTCTTTCAGTGCTTTACACACCAAACATATTAATGAAAATTAATGTTTATCATGCTATAGCATTACAGTATTCATTTATATTTTTAAAAATTATTTGATTATAAATTAAGGAAATGTGCTTTTCCTCATAAAAGGTGATAAGTAGGGTTTAAAAGTCTATAGGGGCTGAACATGCCTATAATCCCAGGACTCAAGAAACCAAGGCAAGACGTCTGACATAGTCTGAGTGACAGAGAAAGACTGTGTTAAAAACACACAGATACCTAGCATGCCTGAGTACAACTTAGTGGAGAATACTTACATATCTTGAGTGAAAAACTAGGGCCCATCCCTAGTACCACAAAGTAGAGAATTAAGTATACAAACAAATAATTGAGAGAGCTGAAAAGAACAGATTATTTTTGTACTATATATACTGATAATATATTCCCCATAAAAACCTTTGGATAACAACATTAAAGGTGTGTGTGTGTGCGTGTACTAGTTACTATATATATGTGTGTGTGTATATATATATATATATATATATATAATATATTTGTGTGTATATATATGTAATTACTAATATATTATTAGTCAATAAGATCTCTCACTTACTTTTATAACTAAACTACATCTTCACAGTTCTTCTTAAAAAAAAATCACTGTATTTTGTACTTACCTACAATGTCCTTCATAAGGCCTACGATGCTCTCATCCCCTATAATCCAAGGGCGTTTCCCTACATCGTGACCATAGCCTCCCCTGAAATTGAAAAGGGACATGAACATTTCTTAGTTGTGTGGTTCTGATGGTGGGGTGTGTATGTATGTATGTATGTATGTATGTATGTATGTATGTATGTATGTGATTTTGTTTTCAAATGTTATCAAGTAAAATACTTGTATATGTGTTTATTGTTTCAGTCTAGAGGTTAAGATGCCTTCCATGGTTCAGTGTCCCAGAACATGTGTTCATAAGTTGGTGGCCCTGTCAAGGGAGGTAATAGGTCCTCTAAAAGGTGGAGCGTAGCTGAAGGAAGTGGGTAACTCAGGGTAAACCTGAGGTTCATAAGGCAATGCCATGCCCTAGTTTGCTTCCTAATCTACTAGGATAGGAGGAAACAGCTTCATGTTCCTGTCACAGGAGCAGAGAGCGGCAATCACTTTCACACTCTTCCTACCATGATAGACCATATCCTCAAACCATTACTCAAGATGAATCTTTGCTTCTTTAAGTTGACTCTTCTTGGGCAGTTGGTCACAGTGACAAGACAAGTAACCAGTATGCCTACTTTTGTACTATTCGTGCAATAATACTAATGCATAACATTTTAAAATCAAGAAGTCATACCTGGGTACCGTATGCTTAAGAGTCATCCTTCCTTTATTGCTTACATTTTTAAAACTGTTGTGGAGGTGAGATTATCCATGTGCTATTTTATTTTTTAAAAACATTTTCCTGTCTAAGCTATAATATTTCTCTTTGTTTTGAAAATTTAGACTATTGGGGAACTCTAATTACATACTTATAGCCTACAGTAGTGTCTATACATAAATAAATATACTGTATTGTTTGGGGGTTAAAATTTATCAATGAAATAAAAATACATAGATAATTATACTTATGATAGTATTTTATGTAAATAAAATGTAGAAACAATCATAATCAACAGTACATTTTTACTTATTTTCTAGCAATTGGATTATCATATCCCAGTTCAGTTTTATTATTGCAGTAAATTTTTTAGCAGAATGGGGGGGGGGGATGCAGAATAATAGAAAAGGGTATTTCAGTATCATGAAATTTCCGTCAGATGAGGAAGAATAATCCACTTGAGAAAGCCAAGGAAACGGAATCAAACAAGGTGTGTGGAAGAGCATGGAGTCTGCTGTTGTAGGCTCATGTCTTCCATAACTCTAAAATGGATTGGTCTTAGTCTGATACACTGTAGACTAGAAAATAAGTCTTGTGCACATGCGTTTAATCTAAGGGAAGTCAAGGTTTATGTGCACCATTGAAATTCTCATCTGCCTGTGTTGAGCTGAGATGCCTACACATTTGATGCCATGCTACCAAAAAACACATTTCGAATGTTTCTCAGTTGTATTTTATTTATAGTGTGAGTCAACTTCAGGTCTCTACGGAATGGAAACCACCTCTTTAAGGAGCTTACAGGAAGTTACTTTTCCACATTGGTAAAATTAAATAAATGAGTGATATGTTCTTTAAAGGATTAGCAGAAAAGTAAATGAGAGCATATAAAAGAGATGGACGCACAGTACTCCCTTGCTGACTCATCTCTCCTAATGTAAATCTAGTGCTAAAGCGCCTTTATCAACATGTGGTACATAACAAGAATTTTTTGGCTAATTTTCCATTACCACATAAGCTGAGATGAAGGAGGAGGACTTTATGTGAATAAACATAGGCTGCTAAGAACCAGGAGGAAGAAAAGGGCAATTCAATTGCTGGTTATTATTATTCATATTGTTATTGCATAGCCTGCAGCCTGCCTCTCTAGACTCCCAATATAAATGTTAAAGACAAAAATCATTATCATTAAATGGTAGTTAAAGGCAGATACTTGGATCCTTTTTTATTTTAATCACATAGAGCTCCCTGGCCTTTGCTGATAGCACAATATATCTTATTACATCTAGGTAGTAAAATTCTATGTTCTGCCTCAGAGAATTTATATCTCAGAATATTATGCCACCTACTTCTCACTCTGGTAGACACCATGGTAATAATCTTTAGGGATATGTTTCTCCCTGCAAGGTTTTTGGCATCTCCCTCTCTTTAAAATATTACACAGGGAGACTACTTCCTCATTTTGTCAGCCCGCTAGCCTGGGGTAGTGAAATGTATTTAGAGCATTTTACCCAAATAAACCCAAAGTAAAGTGACCTGTCATTAGGAAGAATTGATGTAGATTAAAGTGCAGTTATAAACATATGTGTTAGAGTTAAGAAAGATGCTAGACTGCTTTCATTAAAGGTTGCTTAAAATAAGCCTAGCATGGCTGCAATCCTTTACAAATGTTGGAAAATAACTATGAAGGGTTAACCCATTACCAGAACATTAATCATTGCCAGGAGTGGTGTGTTTTGTGAGGTGCCTATGAGCAATATTTGCTCATGAAATTAGATTTCAGGATATAACATCTAATTAGGAAGTTAATAGAAACTTGGATTCTCTTTCAAATAGGACAGTATTTTACCCATCCTACAAAATGAGAAGTGGCCCTATTTTAGAAAGCTTTCCCAGTAAGTAAATCAATAAATTTTCACAGCTTTTCTTAATGAAGTACAATTTTATCTGTGACCTAATTGATGACTAGCTAACAATGACTCTGAACTATGTATTTTTAACATTCATGTGCCCCCTTTTATTTAAAAGAAGAAATTCATAGTTAAATAAAAATATTTAAGTGGTCTTAAGGTAAAAACCTTTCTGGTCTGCTTCATCATCACGCTGTCCACAAGCACATTGCCATTTAAATCATTCCCTGTCTGCCACGTAGAATGTTCCTGAAGAACAACACTGATCTAGCAGACTTGAGCATGCAGATGACTTAAACACCATGGTTCTAGGCTCTGTCTTTAGGGATATATGACTTTGTAATATATGCTTTGCTTCTCAGTGTACAATATGCTCTTAGAATTGATGTTCTTTGCCTTCTCACTGAAGTTTATTGTTATGAGGTATTAATTCATGTTACTTTCTTTTAAATAATACAGGCCATTAGTAAATATTTAATATAAAACATTCCCTTAAATCTTATAAGCTGATAGCTTATCCTTTCTCACATACCATAGGGTTGAAGAATACTATTATTTCTTATTATTGGAGGATATATTGTACAATATTCTTATATTGTAGGATAGTTATTTTCTTGAGACAAGATCTTGTTCTTTATCCGAGAGTGTTCTCAAACATACAGTTCTCCTGTGTCAACCTCTTGAGTGCTGGGGTAATTGGTTCATGATACCGTGTTCAAGGTTATAGCAAAATTTCATTGATAATTATATAACAAATAAGTCTTTGTTATGCTACAACTTTCCTATTTCAAAATGTTACAATTGTACAAATTTCATTTGGCAGAACACATATTTAAAACATAATTTAAGTTGTTCAGATTAACCTTAGAAAACTCATGACTGAAAATCAAATTGCAAAATAACAATAATAAGGATTTTAAAACAAACAGGGGGTAAAAGCTCTTAGTAAACTTTGGGGAGAGTACAATTTTTTTCTTAAATAAATAGAAATTGTAGAAAAAATACTTTGTACAACTACAGTCTGATATTTTTCTTCAGAAGTAGTAAGTTAAGAAGTATGTCATCAATGTTACTGTAATAAGAGGAGCAGCATTACCTCAAGACCCAGCTATACCACTTCTGGGCATATATCCAAAAGATGTTCAACCATACAACAAGGACATTTGCTCAACTGTGTTCGTAGCAGCTTTATTTGTAATACCCAGAATCTGGAAACAACCTACATGTCCCTCAGTTTGCGAATGGATACAGAAATTGTGGTACATTTACACAATGGAATACTACTCTGCTATTAAAAACAAGGTAATCATGAAATTTTTAGGCAAATGGGTGGATATAGAAAAGATCATCCTGAGTGAGGTATCCCAGAAGCAGAAAGACATGCATGATATAAGTGGATATTAGCCACATAATATAGGATAAACACACATAAATCTACAGACCTAAAGAAGCTAAACAATAAGAAGCACCCTAGGGAAGATGCTTAATCCTCATTCAGAAGGGAAAACAAGATAGCCACCTTAAGCAGTAGAAGAGAGAGAACAGAATGGGAGCCTACCACAGATGTCTCTAAAAGACTCCACCCAGCAGGTGATAGAAGCAGATGTAGAGACTCAGCCAAACTTTGCACAGAGAGCAGGGAGTCTTAAGGAAGGAGGGGAAGGCAAAAGGACCCAGAGAAGACAGCAACCACACAAGGAGAACAACAAAGCTAAAAAAAAAAAAACAATTCTCAGGGGGCACTGCAGAGATTGATGCATCAGCCAAAGACCATACATAGAGAGGACCTAGACACCTAGACCTCCTGCTCAGATGTAGCCCATAGACAGCTAGATCTCCATGTGGATTCCCTAGTAAAGAGAGAAGAGACCAGTCTCTGACATGAACTAGGTTGCCTGCTCCTTGATCACTTCCCCTTGGTGGGGTAAGTTAGCCAGCCCCCAGAGGAAGAGGATCCAGATAAACCTGGTGGAACTTGATAGGCTAGGGTCAGACAGTAAGGGAGGAGGACCTCCCCTATCAGTGGACTAGAGAAGGGACATAAGGGAAGAAAAGACAGGGAGGGCAGGAAGGGGAGGAGATAAGGAAGAGAGCTACAACTGGGATACAAAGTGAAAAAATTGTAAAAATTAGCTATTAAAAAAAGAAGTGCAGCATTTAGTACAGTGGTTCTCAACCTTCCTAGTGCTGCAGCCAATACAGTTCATCATGTTGTGATGACCTCCTACCTTAATTTTTTTTTGTTTTTGCTACTTCATAACTGAAATTTGCTACTGTTGTGAATCATAATGGAAATATCTATATTTTCTAATTGTTTTAGGCAACCCCTGTGAAAGGGTCATTAGTCTCTTGAAGGGGTCGTGATTCACAGGTTGAGATCCACTGATTTAAACAGTGATTTGAGTCATGTGGGTAGAGGCTTGAATAGGATTCACAAAAAAAGGTGTGATTAAGGCACAAGTACCATCCATCACCAGTGACGTGGTATGAAGCAGAATTTGGAAAGCAGAGAGCAGCCTTTAGGAGGTACCAAGTCTTCCCATGCCTCAATTTTGCAGAATTGTGAGAAAATTCATTTCTCTTCCTTATAAAGTTTTCAGTCTCTGTTGTTTCATTATTTTAGATTTTTTATAAAGCCCAGCACTAAAACATAGCTGTAAGTGTTTTGATCTTAATTTTTCTTTAGTATTAGTAATCAAGCATGGTGTTCATAGAGTATAAGATCAGTTACAATCAAGAGGAGGTTAAGCTGTAGATAGATAGGCAGGATGTCTGCAATGGAGTGCAACAAAAAGAATATGAAATTTCTTTCATTGACGTCCATAGCCCTGAATGGCATCTCACTTTGTCAAAGTATACTGATACTCTTAATGCTATTGTTAAGATTATGTGTTTTAATATTGTCTTTACCAATGAGACAGCAAACTGTAATTCATGTTAGACTATTCAGTAAATTTGAAGCTTTTATAGCAAAAGAAACTGTCAGCCATCAGAACAGACAGCATAACAAATGGGCAAAGATATTTACCAGTTTGTATTTTTGTCCTTGGTTTTGTTCTAGCTAGAAGTCAGAAATCCCAAAGAAATTCTGGTTCCTGGTCTGGTTTCCCCTTAACCTCTCTTCCCCTAAATGAGCACCACTGCATGGAAGCTGTTAGGAAGAGTAGACTGAAACTGAGGGATTCACTGAGCAGGGCACGCTTTCCTGATACCTCATCCAGCCTTCTATTGTAAATCCTTTAAAGGCTCCCGGAGTAGTGGCGGGATAGTGTATTTACGCCTACTGCGTAGGTTTTTGATTCTTCTGTTGGTAAACTCCTTACAATCAAACATGTATCTAAAAGTCACCCACTCTGTAAATTTCACTTTTTAAATTTATGAGCTACTGACTCAGCACACGTTTTGTGTGACCATGAGTTTCTGGCACTCTAACTTTTGAGTCAAAGTCTACCTGAGATGAGTGAGAAAGCTTCCACAGAGTTCAAAGGTGCCCATTTCTCGAGGTCTCAGTACTATTTATGGACATATTCTAAAGGACTAAAGGCTAATCTGTAGCATGTATAAAGAGAGTTGGATATCCCATGTTGAATTCTGTGCGATAGAAAAGGAATTATGCTAGATTTCTTTCAAGAGGTATTGAAAATGCGGTACATGCATAAATAAGAGTTTACTCTGCCTTAAAGAAAATGAAATTTATGTTAAAGTGGATGGGTCTGGAAATCATTATATAACATGAAACAACCCAGACTCAGAAAGAGGTATTTCATGTTCTGCATCATGAGACCGTATATGAACATGGGTATGGATGTAGGTCAGGAAACTAGAAAAGGAACTGTATAGCGGATAACAGATGTTTGGAGGATGGGACTAGGGTAGCAGAGTACATAAGATAATGAGAGGTGAGAGGGAACTACTGAAAATGAAATGCTGTAAGTGGGGAGTAGGAGGCCCAAGAAGAGGGTGGATGATCAACAAAAATATATTTTGTATAAAAATACCACAGCAAAACTTGTCATTTTTATATTGTTATTTTTTAAAGGAAAAAAAAAACAAGCCCTATAGCTTGTAACTTTCCTTGACTGAGAATCTATAGATCAAATGAGAGTGGTGTAGACCTGGCTAGTTTCAGCCATGGAGCAAAAGTGTGCCCGAAGAGAATGATAACGAATCTGCAAGATACCACAACACTGGGAAGTCAAAATCTAGATGCAAACAGCACAGGAGGAGATTAGTACAGAGATGAAATTGATAGTCAGAAATGGAACTGAAAGGACAGACAGCCCGCCACAGCGCCACCACTGTTTAAGTGAAAACAGGCGCACACAGAGCAACTTTTCAAAGAGAAACGGTCTACACTTGACATGAGGGCTCCTTAAGGTAAGGCGGCCCCAGACTCAAACCCAGAGGGAGAAAGTCGGTTTTCTTGTTTCTTTCCTGTAAGTTTCCAGCCCAGGACACTGCTCTCTAACCTCAGCACGGTTGTGAGGATCCCACGGAGACTCCTGCGTTTCCCCCATGAGCCACTAAAGTTATTCTTCACACCCTGCTCTTTGGCCAGCTGCTCCATTAAGGAAATGTTTTCTGTCTGTTTGTACAACCTGCTTTCTCTCAATAATCTCTCTGCTCTCAAAAAGTTCGCAGGCCCTCTCATTATTTGTAGCTAAGTTGATAAGAAAGAGAAAAGAAAAAAAAGAAAAAAAAACAACTTCTTTCCAACAAAGTCTTATACAGAAAAGGCTAAGAGTGGGGTTTCAAATTACATATTTTGGGAGCAAAAAATAAATAAAAACTGTTTTTGGATCAGTGCTGTGCAGGAAAGGGAGGGCGGGACAGAAGTGTGTCTGTGCATCTGAAACCCTGCTGCTCTTTAGGAGCAGGCAGGGCCACAAGGTTCACTAGGTCCCCAGGGCTGAGGGAAGGTGGAAGTAAAACATTCAAAGCAAGAATGGGTGGATCTCTTTTGCCCAGAAAAGGCCTTTAATTCCATTTTCATTGCCTTCAGCCTTAAAGCACGCTCCTCTGTGAGTCATTTATCTAATGAGCACTAGGAAGATTTAACTAAGTCTCTGGCTTTGTCTCTGTTCACAAAGCAGAATACGAAAGTGAAATGCAACAATAGACGATGCTATGAGATACAGGCCCTTTACTGAAACATAATTTTAACATTTCAACAATCATCAGCCGGGCCCTCAGCGGTTTGGGGATGATGTGGAATGAATGGAGCAGCAGGGTGGCATCTTCTAAGTACTTAGAGCAGGAAAATGCAAAGCCTGGCTGCCCGAGTATTCAAGGGGGGGGGGGGGAAGACGCTTTCAAAAGTGCAAACTCATCCACTTTAACTCTGCTTTCAAACATTAAGGACCAAAATGAATATCAACCATTTTTATTAACTGTGACCTTCATTTATTAAATACTAAACCCTTCTACTCCAAAATGCTTTCAAATGCGATGATGTGTATTTTGAAGCTTACACATAAAAGTCATGAAGATGAAATTATAACATGCTTAATAAATTATATAAGCCTTTCACCATTCTTGCATTAATTTTGCAAGCTCTCATTCTTAACCGTGGAAATTAAGAACTTTGCAGTGTTACCTGAGAGTCATGGTAGCAGTCCTCACATAGGCAGTATGAACTAAACGGCTCCAAGTGTGACGGAGCACAGAGAAGGAGGAAAGGTCATGAAACATGAGATTTTATGAGCACCAAATGGCCTGCTCCAGAATTCGTATTTAATGTGGCTTTATCTCTCTGAAATGTAGTCCCCTGACCTGCAGGTGAGACTTATTTCCATAATATATTTTTTAAATAATCAGAGAAAACATTTAAAAAATATGTTGGGCTTTTAAAAATACTTTGTGTTTACAGTTCAGAAATAAGACAAAAATTAAATATTTAGTAAATATATCTCATTTCAGTTTTATAAGTAATTACTGTGGAAAGAGAAAAGATACATAAAACCAGATTATTTTCCTAAGAACAAGAAAGTAATGAAAATAGATATTTCTAAGCTGTCTACTCAAGGGGAAATTGTAGAGAGTTAAAAATGAGCATCTGAATTCAATTAGACAGAAGTAATAACTTCTAGTGTTTTATAAAACTGATAGGATCATAATTCATGGTAAGCTATTATGTTTGTTATAAAAACTAAACGGGAAGACCTTGAAAGGTTCAAAAAGTAATGATAACTAGATGGGAGCCTCAATTACCTTGAGCGGATCGGTACATATCATAAATGTACATCAAAATATCACCCTGATATACTCATCAATATGTACAACTGTTGTGTGCTAATGAAAAGATGACATTTGGGAGAGGTAATATATGACAGAGATGGATAGTTTACAGGAGCTGAGGACTCAGGAAGGGTGGGAAGGAGATGTGTTAGGCATTAGAAGACTACATGGAAACACAGGGCACAGGAGGGAAAAGGGTGCTCATACAAGAAGTCCTATGTAGCAAGCCTGGAAATAGATGTCTTTTCACTGTCTACTCAGGAGGAAACCGGAGGAGGTTAAAAATGCTAACATCAGATGATACACCTCACTCAGGATACACATGACCATGGGTGTCACCCAGCCTTTTGTTATCTAACAAGTCTGGATTCCATGCTTTGGATGGAATTGCTTGCTTAGTCACGAGTTAATCACAAAACACTGAAAACTGTAAATTAATTTCTTTTGGTGATTGTTAACCATGTGAAATTAAATGGCTACACTGATTTAGATGTGGAAAAGAGGATTAAATGTTTATTAAATATATTATTTTACTCTCCCTCTATCACAAACTTGCCATTTGGCCTTATTCTGATCCTAAATTATTTCATCAAAATCTTATAGTATTAAAAATTATGGTCAATAAGGTTTTCCTCAGTGCTAAAATACTAAAGGTGTAACTTGCCCAAATCAGACACCTTTTATAATTTTCAAAACTCTCCTGTCAGATGTAGAATTACACCTTTTCTCATGGTACTTACATTTTGGCCCACTTATCAAGCTCTTCCTCCAGGTATGTTTTAACCATTTTTGGTTGAAGGCCAAGGGAATTTCCCAAGAAATAGATGGCATTGTCATCATTGTTCACTAAAGATAAATCAACTGAAACACAGGAAAATACACACAAAAATGTGCTCATTAAATTAATTAACATTCTTCCTCATGACATTGTTAATCCAACACAATTACCATAATTAACTAGAGGAAGGATAATAAATAACTTGCAGATATTCCCACAGAAGCATCAGGCTATGAACAGTAATTAACCTTTTGTATTTTACATTAAAACATAACTTAAACCCACAGAGATGACATGGAGATCTCTCACAGTTTTTGTGCTATGGGAAGGAATATGAATTAGCAGCCACTTCGAATCATAAATATCCAGAGGCTATAGGAAGCCTTAAAACAGTTTTTTTTTAATAGAATATATGATAGCCTATTCAATTATGTTAGATCACCAGAATTTAGACAAAGTACACTCTGAATTAATTTCCGTGTCCTGGAAACGTTTAGAAGTTAACCATCATAACACTTTTGGAGTTACGTGCCTTATGTGTTTTTACGTACACATGCGTAGTACGAACATTATAAAGATTGCTGTCTACATCTTTTCCTCCTTCAGATAGTTCCGAACATTGCTGCGTTCTCCATCTTAGGTCTTAGCCTTGACTACAGCAGATAAACAATTCTTATAGATGCTGCTAAGTATTAGAGACTGCTTAGAGACAACCCAAACACCTTACTCATTGTGATCAGCTATTGCACCTCCTTGTAGCATCTCTCAAACCTGACACAACAAAAAAGGACCAAAAAATCTGAGCACAGGGGTCTTTCCTGAGACTGATACTCCAACCAAGGACTATGCATGGAGATAACCTAAGACCCCTGCACAGATGTAGCCCATGGCAGTTCAGTCTCCAAGTGGGTTCCATTGTAATAGGAACAGGGACTGTCTCTGACATGAACTGATTGGCCTGCTCTTTAATTACCTCCCCCTGAGGGGGAAGCAGCATTACCAGGCCACAGAAGAAGACAATGCAGCCACTCCTGATGAGACATAATTGACTAGGATCAGAAGGAAGGAAAAGAAGTCCTCCCCTATCAGTGGACTTGGGGAGGGGCATGCATGCAGAGGGTGGAGGAAAGGAGGGATTGGGATGGGAGGAGGGAGGGAACCACGGGGGGGGGGATACAAAGTGAGTAAAGTGTAATTAATAAAGAAAAAAATTGTGAAAAAAAACCCCAGGTGTTAATGCCACTAGACATTCAAGCTGAAAGTTGTTGTCAGTGGGTGAGTGGGGCAATTTGGAACTCTGGATGGAACACGAAGATTGTTGGCTGCGTTTAACGGATTTATCGTGAGAACTTTGAACCCAAAGAAGAAAGAATGGAGATGTTGGAAAAGCCTAGAGTTCTTCCAGAGAAGAGTATACAAAAGATGGAGCCACATGAAGTGTTAAGGACATCAGCATCATTAAAAAGAAGGCCATACAATGGACTGGAGTAACCATTGAAAAAGAAAAAGAAAAGCACATTGGCCAGAGGAGTGAGCACATAAACACATTTGGAAGACCTTCTCTTGAGAGAACACTGCTCAGGGTGGATAGCACTTAGACAGTGTTTTCCCAGGATCAGCTTTGAGGCTACTCTGAAGTAACTGTAGCCATTGTTTAAATGAGGTGGGGATGGGGCTCAAAGGGAAGCTACTGCTGGAGCTGGGGCTGGTTTAGATATCACCCATGAGATGTTATTTTGCAGGCATGTAAAATGCAAGAATTGCGGAGTTATGTAGGCTTCCATCAAACTTTAAGGGAAAACCTAGGAGGCCAGGCAATGCTTATGAGAGAGCCGGGATCTCTGCGGGAAATCTTTGACAAGGCTTTGAAGCTACAGACACAATGGAGACCCCAGGAAGTTAGAGATTCCGGAAAAGTAGAGTGTTTGCTAAGAAAAGCTTTTTTTTTTTTTTTTTTTGGATCCAGCTGAGACAAAAGTCAAGTAGAGTCCAGCTTGCAGGTGGCAATGTCTAGAGGAACAAGACCACCCATGATCTGAGTTTCACCTTACTGAAACTATTTGTCCTAAACACTGCCTGGGGAAGAGGTGAAGAGGGGAGTCTAACTGCAGCCCAGGTTGATCTCAAAAGTCCAGTTCTTCTGTTTCAATTTCCACAGTGCTGGAATTATAGGTGGGCACAACCATGTCTCCCCAAAACTATGATTTTTAATACTTTCCCTGCTGAGTTTTGGTTGTTGGTCAGTCCCTCCTCTCTATTCTTTATTTCCCTTTCAGAATGGAATATTCACTCTACACTGTTCTTGGAGGAAGGCATCTTCCTTTATTTTTTTTTTTTTTTTTTTTTTTTTTTTTTTTTTTTTACAGGAGTTTGCTGCTGAGAATTTGCCTTTAGTTTCAGGAGACTTTAGATTTGAACTTTACAGCAATGTTGCAACAGTGGAGAATTTAAAGACTCCTAGAGATGGACTAAATGTATCTTGCCTTATATAAGAGATGGACATGTGCCTTGGGGACTAGGGGTAGGACTTTAAGGTTGGTATAGCAAATGTCCCTGGGCTCATATGTTGAAGCCTTTGACCCCTGCTAGTGGTGCTATGTTTTGGAGGTTACACTTTATTCCAATTCTCCCTGTCTCTTTGTCTGTGTCCCGGCATCATTAGGTCAGCACCTCTATTTCTTTATGCCCTTTTATCATGATGTTCTACCCCATCATGGTCCAAGCAAGATCAAGTGGTTAATCATGAACTGAACCCATTAATATGTGGCCCTAAAATGAATATTCACTTCTTGGAGTTACTTTTCTCAAACATTTTGTCACTGTGAAGAAAACTTTAAGTTGTACAGCTTCAGACATTAAGAAGGCACCTCCCCTGCGTGTGTTTGGGGACTGGGTAGGAGACTGACAGGAGAAAGCTTCTACTGTCACTGAAACCCATGACCTGTGACATAGAATCCTAGACAAGAATAAACAGGAAAGAAGAGTTTCTTACTGAATCAAGCAGTTCAGAGCACTCTGAGAGGCCTCTCAAAGCTTATAGACCCACAGGAAGAGGGAAAGAAAATTGCAAACAAGGGTGCCAAATTTGCTATTAAATCTTGAGCTAGTGAATTCGATCCTGCCTTAAAAATGAAATTATATTTATTTCTATGATTTGACCATAGCTAGGACATTAACGACATTTGAATAGTACAAAATAAAATAATCCTTTTTCTCAAATTGAACTAACTTCCTTCCTTCCTTCCTTCCTTCCTTCCTTCCTTCCTTCCTTCCTTCCTTCCTTCCTCCCTCCCTCCCTCCCTCCCTCCCTCCCTCCTTCCTTCCTTCCTTTCTTGTTTTTGTCCTGAGAATTGAATCCAAAGCCTTCTACAAACTAGTCAGGCACTGTACTACCAAGCAACACTTCCAACATGAACTTCCATTCCTTAACTCTAATTCACCTGATAGTCACATTATACAGAAAAATCATAAACGAGTTTCATTTTATTTTATCATATTACTGCCCTTTAAACACATTTCATCAGTGAGTCATTTTTTCAGCTATGTGATATTTCCTGCAGGTTTCACCCTAATAGTATTAACAGTGTCCCTCCCTTTGGTCTGTCTCTTATCTCTCTTCCTCTTCTTAATGTTTCCAGAAAGATTTATTTCCTTTGGGAAAGAGAGCATAAAGTCAGCTATTTGAGGAGAGTTGAGACATGAGTTGAGGAAGAAATGTATCGATGTTCACACATAACTTACTATGCAAAACCTCTCAGGAATTCATTGTAAGAAACAGCATCTGTGATAGCTGTGAAGGATGTGGCATCAAAGATTATCAACAAAATACTTTTATGGGTGTTCAAAATACTTTTATGGGTGTTCAGAGGATCTTCAAACAGCACCTGAACAGAATTCACCATGTGCATTACTGTTCATGGTCACATGGACCAAAGATAATCTTTCTTTTTCTTCTTGTTCTAATCCTCGCTACAGCACAGCTACTTTTTCTGTATTAAATGAGAAGAAAGGGAAGGAGGTTAAATATAACCTCCTTCTAAATTGCTTTGGAATCAGGATATTTATGTGTTCTTTGGTGTCTAGAGGTTATTCTGCATTCATGCAAGCCAGATCCTCTTGGTTAGAACATTAGCTGCTGGGCCTCAAGTCAGCCATGGCTCATTTTTTTCTCATCCTCAAGACTGTAGTGCCAATTGTTACTGACATCACCTCAATCAATACTTATAATTATCTTCTCTTACATTATAGTTGGATTCTACATTTAGAACTTTCTAAAACACATTTATACTTTTCATATTCCCTGTGCTTCTTAGGAACAATCCTTGAGAATATAAGTGTGGGCATATATATATATATATATATATATATATATATATATATATATATATATATTTATTTTTTTCCAAGTCCTTAGTGCCACCTCCCCAGTCTTTCTCACAACTTGATATCTTGTGAGTATATTATGTTTCATATTCATGGACTAAAGAGAGAATTTCCCATGCACACAAACACACAGTTTAAACACCCTGTGTGCACCTTTTTTTGAGGTAGATTTATTCTTTTCTTCCAAATATAAAATTATTATCAATGCATATCAGTTGTTAATGTTCTTTAGAATATTTTTATCTCATGATAATTTCTTTATTTCAATACATGTTCAGTTTGATGCTCTGCAAAAACCAGTTATTGTAGAAATAATGGCATTGACATACTTCTTTTCTTGGAATTAAGGATTTCCAATTACTTTAAGTGTTTCTCTGCCATTCGGTATTCCTCTATTGAGAACTCTGTGTTTAGCTCTGTACCCCATTTTTAAATTTGATTACTTGATTTGCTACAGTTTAACTTCTTGAGTTCTTTATATATCCTGGATATTAGCCCTCTGTCAAATATAGGGTTGGTGAAGATCCTTTCCCAATCTGTAGGCTGTCGTTTTGTTCTGACAACAGTGAACTTTGCTTTACAGAACCTTTTTAGTTTCATGAGGTCCCATTTATTGATTTTTGCTTTAGAGTCTGTGCTGTTGGTTCAAGAAGTTGTCTCCTGTGTCAGTGAGGTCAAGCCTCTCCCCCACTTTTTCTTC